ATCTTTATTATAAAACAACTAAACACATTTTTCCTCTAATTTTTTAATTTTAAATTCAAACAAAAAAATTAGCACACAATGCATTTTCTATTATTTTATCTTTCAATAAGCCCTTATTAAAATTTTCATTTTCCAACTTTTGCAAATATTCATCTGTTCATATCTTTGCTTACTAAACATGCCTACCTGTCCATCATAAATGATCTCACATGATTTTATGATTATAATTGATTGCAATAACTTGCATGAGATAATAATGTTTAACAATGATCACTCTACCTTATCAACATCATCATTTGTCTGTTTCTAACCATTCGGATTTTCTGTGAATTAAAATTTGAAATTTTGTCAATTTTTAAAATTTTGTACATTTCCAAACAAACGAATAGATCAAATATTAGCATATAAAAAATTATGCATTTACACGTAAAACCACGTGATACAATTGATTTATACTTCAATTTTCTGTAACATAAATGATTTGCATACAAGTAGTTATAATATATTCTTGTAACCTTCAACTGATAAATTTTGATAAAACATTTAAATTTACAATTAATATTATGCAATTAATTATTTATTCTAATTTTGAAATTTCCGATGAAAAAAGTGTTGAATTATTTAAAATGTTAATCATAAGAACATTTAATACTTACTATTTCACGTTGTTTATGCTATGTCCTCATCGTTATTTGTATGCATTCCATTTCTTGCAAAATATTTTATAATAATAAAATAATTTCCAGCAAGACTTCCAGATGGTAAAACAGATTTTTTATATTTGTAATATAAAATAATCACTTGATATTTGGTAAGTAAAAAAAAATTTCAGTATTCATTTGAAATTTGTTGGTTTGTGTGAAATTCACCAACGAAAAAAGGAGCGCAAAAAGAAGCGAATAAATAAGCTGATAAATTTATCACAACCAGTGATCAGTGATCAGGTTATCAATAAGAACCTTTGAACTTCGTGTGATACATTCCCATTAATGTCTCGGTGGGTTAAACATTTTGCCGGAATAGGATCATCAGCAACATTGTTTGCCGAACATTTGTGTAGGAACGATAATTATAATGGGCGAAGATATAATGCAACATGGGCCAAAGTCGAATGTATTTCATGCCGGTACACCCCGGGATATCGTTAATCATCCCGAGAATTTGGATTCCAAGTCCGAAATGGTTGTATCGGGCGGTAATGCTACAACGGTAATTTCTTCAGTAGCAGCAACAGCAATAACACTCCCGAATAATTCCAATGAAATTGGCAATTCCTCTTCCTCATCAAGCGCTACGGGCTCACCGGTCAATGATGATTGTGGGCATCGAAATTACGGTGCAAAAATTTTTTAATATTTAAAATTTAAACATTTGAAAATAAACATTTAAAGATTTATCATTCTTCTTTTCTTCCTACCTAGCCACGAATCATTGCTTTTTAATTCAAAAATATTTCTCGAAAAAAAAACGCAAATTAAAGAAATTTTGTTTAAATAATAAAATTTTAGTTTCGAGCTCTTCATTAACATGCAAAGGTATGAAAAATAAACCTGAAGGTATGAACGAATGGGATTGGACTAGTATGTCAGAACATAATTTCGCCGAACTTTGTGTATTTCATGTGCCTGATAAGCCACTGGAACATCAGGTAAGCGTTTGTTTATTTTATTTTCCATCTTTATTGTTCAATAAAATGACTACTTTAATTAATTTTGTATGCAAAAATATTTAGAAGCATTGTAGGGAAGTAAATTTATCAGTGTTAATTTTGACCTCGACCTAAATTTCATCTTTCTTGTCATTTCACCTGGCTGTCTTATCATCTGTCTTATCGAATTTTTTGCTGATAATTTATCTGCCTATCATGTAATTGCAACCAATAATGAAGAATGAGGAATTTGAATCTGAAAAGAGAGTTTGAAAAAAAAAACCACTAATCATATCTAATAAGATATTAATGCTATCTTTTCTATTGTTTATGGATGATATTTCAAGCAAATTTGAATTTTATCATTAATGAAATTTTTTTGGATAACTAATTGATGGAGTTTGATTTGCTTGAAATCTATTTGCAAATGTATAATTAATATAATTGTCTTCCGTAATAGTTGTGAAAAATGCCAACTGTATTGGATACTCTTTTTTTAAGGATCCGAACAATCGTGCCGCAACATCACTACCACTGAATTTGACCATTCGATCTTCACATGAAGTGCCCAAAGTGAATTAATCATTTCATCATTATTTTCCTTCTTTCCATCCTTTGTTCTTTTCTTTTTTTTTTGTTTTTCTTATCCTTCCCCCAAAAAATATTTTTATTTTGAGATGATTATATTGAAGAAAGGAAAAGAAAGGAAGAAAAAATTGATAAACGATAATTAGTGAAACATTTTAGGTATATGAAATTTGATCATGAAGAAATCTTCTAAAATGATTTACATTTTAACAGTAACAGAAATAATATCTCAGTTACATTTATTTTAGTTCCACTAATTACACTGTCAATTAAAATATTACACAATTTTTATTTTATTCAATGTTAAATTTTGTAAGCTTAATTTTTAATTTTCTAACATGCAAATACAAAATAAGAGGATATTTTGATTTTTTTTGTTTTCTTTTTTTCATTGTTGAAAAGTAATAATTTTAAAAGTAATAATACTTTGCTGATAGGCGATGGGTGTTTGGAGCATGGATTATATTCCACGTGGTGCACGCTTCGGACCATTGGTCGGTGAGCACAAAAAACCGGATATTACGGAAGCTACGGTAAGCCCGGCTGAAGCTAGTGGTGCTGGAGGTTCATGCCATTCTTACTGTGGTGGTGCTTCAAGCTCCGCCCTTGGAAGTGAGCTACCTTGGGAACCGGTCTGGAAAATATTTAGCAATAGCGGTAGTATACTGATCCGATTGCTTGATGTAAGTGAAAATCGCAAAAGTAATTGGATGAAATTTGTCAATCGAGCACGAACAAAGGATTCGCAAAATTTGGTCGCCTGTCAGGTTAATTTTAATTTTTCTATGGGAATGGTCTGATGACAGCACTGAACAAGGTAGAAAGTGAAGGTAGCAATCTAAAGGTTATAAATTAATTCAATAGCAATATAAAATAAAATTCAATTAGTAACCAGAAGATCGTAAATAAAAAAAATGCAAAAACGTTCAATTTTCAAATTAATTTTCATAGTTAAATGAATGAATTCTACAAAAGCTTTTTTGAAGAATATTACATATTACGTGTAATTACGTGTGACCGTAGAAGAATGTTACTCAGATACACAGATTTCAACGGAATATCACTTCCAGATACACTGATATGCTGCTTTAGGTCATCAATTTTGTCATCTATTTTAGGTAGAAAGTGAAATTTATTTCTATTCCGTGAAGCCAATTAAGCCAAACACGGAATTACTATATTGGTATAGTCAAGATTATGCACAGCGTATTAATTTTCCAACATTTTGCGAATACTGGAAAGTTCCTTCACCAAAAGGTACCATTTACTGCACATTTTTGGAGTGAAAACCTTGAAATTATCATTATAAAATTTCTCACATCTTATAGGAAAATGACTAAAACAAACTAATTAGGCTTTAAAAATATTTCTGGCTACGGAATAATTATCCTAATAGTTGATATAAGAAGAAATCCTATGCTTATACTTTTTTTTTCTACCAGATCTAAGATTTCTTACTATTTGAATGTTCAAGCTTGATTCGTAAAGTGCGCTCAAACTTTCTCAAAAAGCCATTAATCAATGATTTAAATATAATTTTTAGAATTAGCTGCGAAAGAAACGGTAATTTGACAGTTTTCAATTTATCATTTGATTATCATTGATAAAGAAAATTATTCGTATAATTAGTTATTTTTAAAAAAAATTGGTAAATCAGAAAAATTTGTCGAATATCTCAAAATAGAGATGCAATATTTTTGGGTATCATTATTTTCTAAGACAAATGATTCTGACGAGTATAAGTCGAATTTAAAAATTTCACCGTATCTGAATTTGCTAAAAGTTTACTGTATGTTTTAAATTCGAATGTTGTAATAATTGAATATTGGATTACTACTGAAAAAGTATATAGAAACAAAAAAAAAATGACAAATTTTTTAAAAAAAATTTAAATAAAAAAATGCAAGCAGTTGATAAAATAATCGTTATAATGCTGAATCGTATTATTACATTAGAAAATTGAGAGTTGCAATTTGTTGATTGATTTGAAAATCGGATTGATCACTTGAATGATATAATTATCCCAGAAAACTGCTGCAAAATTAATTTTTTTTCTGAAATTTACTAACACCTAAGTAAGTGTATGATTACGTTAATGAAAAGTGAAAATATTTGAAAGTGATCCGAAAATGGAAAGAAATCTGCTAAATGAATGCTCGATTTTTCTGGTCAGAAAATTTCTATATATGCGGAAGATTTTAGATTCTTAGCTTTATGTAGCAATTCATTGGCTTCTTTATCAGTCTTCAATTAACAAGTAATTTATTTTTTATATATAATGAATGCAAATTTTAGCCCTGAAATGTGTTGAAACAGCAAGTGCTCCGGGATCAAGCCGGAATACTGATCTGAAACCACCACTACCACCACCACAACAACAACAAAAACAACAACGACAACAACAGCAGCAACAACAGCAGCAGCAACAACAGCAACAACAACAGCAACAACAACAACAACA